TAGCAACGTGCTGTTGCATTGTCTCCTGCTAGTTCCCCCCCTTAACCCAGAACAAAGGAAAGAACAAATGTCTTTGCGGCTCACGATGGCAGTAAAGAGAAGGAAAAACTTATTCACTTCCAGGAATGCTGGAAGTCAAGGGAGCACTTGGCAGCACTTCAGTTGATGACACTGCCTCTCTCTATGAGACCATGAACTTCACATCCCAACGAATAGATGGGGGAGCAATGTTGCTTTATTTACAGCGGGCGGATGCTTCAGATGGTTCTGTTCCCAGAAATAATCAGTACCCTTTGACTAAGTTAATCCCTGATACAAAATCCTCTAAATGAGGGGTGGGGAGACTTCTTCAGCCTGAGGACTGCATTCCTGCCATACGTTACCTTCCAGAGTTGACATGCCAAGAGAGGGTGGGGCCAAAGCTCCATATACCTTCCATTCACACACATATATACCTTTCATTCACACTCATCCCTTCATCCATCCACATGCTCCTGACCCACCCTCACTCTGTGCTCATCCTCATCTATGCAGCAGCAGCACATGGTTCCTCTTGGGTTTTCCCCCAAAGATGAAAGTTACAGCTTGCCTGATGTTAAATAGAGAATTGTGAAATTGCTAGTTGTGGCCTGATTAAATAATGGTCATTATGATCTGAGCCAAGGCTGGTCCAATACATTTGGGCACCTGAGGTGAGCCACAAAATGACACCCCCTTTCCCTGCCAGGAACGGGGGGGGGGGGGAGAGATAAAGACATCAGGTTCTGCTGCCCCTGTGGGTCCTGCCACCTGAGGTGGTCATCGTGACTAGTGTCACCTGCCAACCCCATAGTATTTCACTGCGTGGTTGGATTTCATGCCATATAAGCAAAGCTAAACACTTTACTTGACATGGTGGCATTAAGTGATTGACATGTGGTGGCCCCGCCCACCTGTCAAAATAGCCCACGGGACTTGCGGGAGGTTGAGATCTGGCTCACCGGCTAGATCCAATTCCCACCCCTGCCTTAAAGCAGCACCTGGACACCTAGGATCGGAATGTTAATAGCTCAGGGTATTCAGGTGATGTGTCTCCATGGGAGATAATTGTTAGATGATTGCTTCTTAATACAAGACCACCTTGCATTGTTCTGAAAGTAAAATACCTGGAAGGTCATGAAAAGTGACATGCCTTTCTTCTCCTGACAGAAGCTGCAGCTGGAGTCGGGAAGAAGAAAGGCTGAGAGAACCAAGAGGGCAGAGAGGTGAGTTTGGGTTCTGTAAGCAGCTTTGGGACGCACCTCTTTGGAGATCTGAAGTGGACAACAGTTTGGCTATCTGCTGTCATGTGCAAACTGGGGCTCCAACTCTACTCAATCTATATATCTGCAAATAAATTATACAAAATGCTAGCTAGACTCTAGTGACCACCATCCAAAGGGAACCAAACTTGCGTAACTGCTTTGCCTCAGGAGCTTCCTACCATGTGGAGAAATCACAATACTTCAACAATATTAGTAGCAGTGGTGCAGGTAACGGCTAGCAGGTAACACCATGCCCCTGAAACGGATGCAGGGAGGAAATGAAAGTGAGGAAGAGGCTGCAGGAAAACAAAGGAGAGAGGATGTTGTTACAGAGTGTCCAGCCACTTGGAGTGGCAGCCTTCCAATGGACTCCTGACACAAGGAGGGATGTTGACTTGGAGCCTTGGATTTCAAGCCAATCCAAGTAGCCCTGGCCTTTGTGGTTTCTTGCATTGTCTTTTCCCTAGTTGACCCCCTGCCAGTGGTTTGTGACTCCCACACTGTACAGTGTCACATGCACAGTTCCGGTGTGAGCTGTAAGCCTGCCAAGAGGATGACTTAATCTAGATCTACAAGAGGCATTTCTCTCTCTCTCTCTCTCTCTCTCTCTCTCTCTCTCTCTCTCTCTCTTCTTCTGAGGATGCCAAAAAAGTGCATCATTGTTTGCTTTGACAGCCTTGATTTCACCTCAGGGAAGCTTCCCCCACAGTGACTCTTCCAGTATTCCTGTTAGAAAACCATTTATCTCGGATTGCTTCCAACCTGGCAGCAACAGGAACAGAAATATCTCCTGCAGAAACATACCATTTACAATGCTCAGTCCAACAGGGGTTTGAGGAGGAATTATAGTAGCATTGAAATGTTAGGGAGGTTTGATGTCATGGGCATCTGTGGGTTATAAATAGATAAAGATAAATAGATAAAGATATAAATAGATAAAGATATAGATAAAGTGGGCAGGTACTCCCTGCCCATGACCCATAATCCCCAGATTCCTATCATTTTACCAAAAAAAAAGTAAGTTTCTAACATTTTTAGAACCTCAGATATGAAGCAAAATGTACAGGCAGTATTCTCCTATCTTTTTTTTTTGAAACTAGCATGCTCCTCCCCTTTCAGTGTTTCACCTCTCTGGGATAATTCCTGCAGAGGCTCATGGGTACCACCAACTTGATAGGGAGTAGCACTTTGGCACTAACCACTTCACAATGTCCCCTGTGGGCTATAACAACACTCTAAGGCCAATTCAACAAATAAGTTTGCTGGCGTTTGTGGTACAGTTGGGCTACGCTCTTCTATAAGCCCCTGTTGGACAACCCCAACACTAGGTATAAATCTTCCTTGGTCAAGGCCTCTGGTGGGCCCCACAGAACCTCTTGCCATATAGGTTGCCATGCTCAGTCACAGACTGCTTTCTTGTTCCATCATCTTGGCCAACTGGGAACTTACTTCTCTGTTTCCTTCCCTGCCCCATTCTCTATGGTTCTTTTAGCTCTCAACCTTTTGTCCTTTGCCTCCCCTGCTTTTCCATAGAGCTTTGTCCATTTTCTTAAGGGAGAGGGCCATAACTCTGTGGTGTGCCATAAAAAACCATATCCTTTATATGAAAAAGGTCCCAAGTTGAATGCCCAGGATCTCCAGATAAAGCTGGGAGAGGCCCCTGTCTGAAACCCTGGAGAGCTACTGACTATCAGAATAGAGTCATTATTGAACTGGATGGACCAGTGGCTTGACTCGGTATACACCAGCTTTCTCTCACTGTCCTCTTGCCTGTTTGGGGCACTCTCTCTTCACCTGCTTTTGCCTGCTCCTCTGGGACTCTTCATCAGCAATTTCCCACCACACCATCTGTCTAATTCTTATCTACCTAATCTCCCTTTCACTGCTCTCTGCCTCCTGCCCATCTCTGTTCCTCTCCTTTTCTCATCTTCACTTTCTGCCAATGCCGACCAAACTTGGAAGAAATTGCCAGCTGTTTTACATAAGTCATAGTGTTATTGAGTTTTTGTTGAGCTCATAGGGCTGGACCCCACCACCACCTCAATCTGCAAAACAGCAGGGCTGATCCCCGTTCATCAACCCAAGAGAAAGGGGACATTTGCAGCATCTGCATTGATGGAATTCTGCAAAATCTTCTCATCAGGGCATGATAGTTCAAATGATGCTTTGTACACTTTAACTTACCACAGACTGACAGTGCAGGAAGCTTCCATGCAGGCACATCCTTAGAAAGCATAATCAAACTCTCACTTAGGCTCCCATGTGCCCAACTCTTCCATGTATCTGCCCTGCAGTTGCCTGGTAGCTGACACAACATGTTCTCAGTTGTAAATCTTTTAATTCCACCAAGGCTTGAAGGCAACTTAGCTAGCAGAGCTGCAGGATGCAAGATCCCTAAAATGGAGGAATAATATAACTGGATTACTGTGCCAACTATGTCATAATCCCAGCTCCTAGCAATCTACAATGCTATGTTGGAGAGTCATATGAGGATGCCACAATGATTTACACCAAGGGAGCCTCAAGGAGCAGGGCAGAACAACAGCTGCATGAGTATTGATTCCTAATTCTATTTGCAGTGGAAAACTACTCCTACTAGCACAATAACACATGAGAGGGTTTCTTACAGAGGGACGTGAAGTTCCCATTGCACCTGACAGTCAGGAAAGACGAGAGAGCCTTCCTTAGGTACCATATACTTCATGACACCAGGAAGGGTTGTAGCTCAGTGGTAGAACACATGATTTGCATGCAGAAGGTTCCAGGTTCAAGTCTTGAAATCTCTAAGCAGGGCTGGGAAAGGCCTCTGCCTCAAACTTTGGAAATCCAGTGTCAGTCCATGCAGACCAGGGTTTCCCAAACTTGGATCTCCAGTTGTTGTTGGACTACAACTCCCATCATCCCTAGCTATCAGGATGATGGGAATTGTAGTCCAAAAAACAGCTGGAGACCCAAGTTTGGGAAACCCTGGTGTTGACAGTACTGAGCCAGATGACACTAGCAGTCTATGATGATGATAATTTATTATTTTTACCCCGCCCACCTGGCTGGGTTTCCCCAGTCACTCTGGGCGGCTCCCAACAGAACATTAAAAACCTGATTAAACATCAGGCATTAAAAACTTCCCTAACAGGGCTGCCTGTCTTCTAAACATCAGATAATTGTTTATTTCCTTGACATCTGATGGGAGGGCATTCCACAGGGCAGGCGCCACTGCCAAGAAGGCTCTCTGCCTTGCCAAGGGCTTCATGCTATATTGCTCTGTTTTGCTCTGTCTTAATTTGCATTGCTCCATTAGCCAACATGGGAACTGAACTAAAAAGAGGTGGTAAATGGCATGGAAAAAGAGACGCAGGGAAGGTAAAGAACAGTCTGTTTAGTACTGTCCATGAGTAACACAGCATTGGTCCTCAAAGGGCAGCTTGATTAATTATGGCAATGTGCATAAACTTTCATTCTGGAATCATAGTTTTTGCATGAGGCATTGACTACAACTGTTAATAGAGAAGACGCTCAGGTTATCGCACTGCCTTGTTTTGTGTGAAACAAACTTTTGCACTGAAGCGCCTCATAATTATGGAAGTGAATGATAAAACTCCTCTTCATTTTGGATGATCTGTGAACCTAGCAATGTCCCTCGTGAGCCTTTATTTCCTTGAGCAGGACTTCAATATAGCAGCTCTATGGCAACCGCCCTGTTTACTGGCAGGCATTTGCAACTTTCTAAACTGCACCTAGCTTCTGGGAGAGCAAAAGAAACAGAAATGCATCCTGTTTGCTGTGTGCCAACCTTATTAAGCCTGACAAATGGATATTTTCTTAAAGGGTCTCTTAGAGCCTTCTCAGAGGGACATCTTCAATCACTTGACACGGACAAAAACAACCATGGCAGTCCCTTTTAAGAGCGCACTGAAAGGTAAGGCATTCTGGGTTGACTTGCTACATTAGCATCAGATAGCCAATCATCTGTTGTGGCCAAATCCCAATCAGAACAAAATTACTGAAGGGTTGGGATACTGTCCTCTATTTTGTTAGGAAAGCTTAAAAAGGTAAAGGGACCCCTGACCATTAGGTCCAGTCGTGGACAACTCTGGGGTTGCAGCGCTCCTCTCGCTTTACTGGCCAAGGGAGCTGGCGTACAGCTTCCGGGTCATGTGGCCAGCATGACTAAGCTGCTTCTGGTGAACCAGAGCAGTGCACGGAAATGCCGTTTGCATTCCCACCGGAGCGTACCTATTTATTACTTGCACTTTGTGCTTTTGAACTGCTAGGTTGGCAGGAGCAGGGACTGAACAACGGGAGCTCACCCCATCAAGTGGATTTGAACCACCAACCTTCTGATTGGCAAGCCCTAGGCTCTGTGGTTTAACCCACAGCGCCACTGCTTAACCAAAAGGAACATCCAAGTGGTTTTATATTTCTGGTATTGATGATACATCTTCATTGAATTACATGTTTAAAGTTTTCTTGATACATGCTGAATTTGTACAGTTGCAGCCCTGCATATTCAAATATATTGGATGAAGTGTTGCTATTATTTTTTAAAGGTGGGTTTGGGGAAGAGAGTGATCCTTGAGATGGGACTATATAGCACCTGTGTTTAGCTTATGCCAAAAGAAATTAATAGAAGTTACCATATTCTCGGAGGCGGGGGGGGGGTTCATGGATGCAAAGGCATAAATTCACTTTCATTGAAAGACTTTCATACTGAAGAAGGAATAGAACTACGGCTAGGAAGATGGCTTCTATCCAAATTAAACAAAAATGTTTTGCACCTATTTTTTGTGGAGTTCAAGAAAATAATAAAGTGGAGAATGACCACTGAATGACCATAGAATGTGTAGTGCAGGCAGCATGATTATACTCAGCAGATCACATGAAAAATTGCCATAGACATTTGTCCCAATTCAGCAGTAAATAGCAGGTTTTCCCAGGGGAAAGTGGTGGGACGAGTGGAAGTGTGGATGAGCCATAGGTTGGAAATCGTGAAATATGGAGAGCACAAATTTTGAAGCGCTGCTGTGTTTCAGTTCACGTATTGTTTTGGAAAGTGCAGATTATGTTGGTTGATCTTCAAATGCAAACTGAATTTAATTTTCTCCCAGTTCCTAGGCCCCACCACTGGGCGTGAGAATTTTGAAGCAAAATCCAATAATTTGAAGGTTCTGTGTAGACAGTTCCAACCTGATAATCTGGCAACCCTGGTTTGTATTCCTTAATCAACCACTATCCTTGCAGCCAGAATTAATTTCCTTCTTTCTTTATATATTGGAAAGCACAATGGTTTGTTTTAGAAGAGAGAGTTCACTGTTATTACTGCAAAAGTTGCTGAAGCACAAAAGCAAACCCTTCTACATGTTAGAGCAATGTTTTCCTTTTCACTGAGGTCTGAAGGACAAAACCAGAAGAAAGCTTGGTGTGTTTTTTGGATAAGGTTTCTGGCAATGCTTTCACTTGAAGCAGAGGTTTGGGGTAACTCATATTACTTTTGATGTTTATTTATTTTTATCTCAGTGGTTTCTAAGTGTTACATTTTGGATCGAGTAGGCAATGAAAATGTTCAGAATTTCAGCCCGATTGATAGTTAAAAAGGTAAAGGGACCCCTGACCATTAGGCCCAGTCGTGATTTAACCCACAGTGCCACCCACGTCCCAGTGATTGATAGTTACCTGGGGGCCAAATAGGTGAGTCCACCCCACTGACAGAGGAAGAGGGGAGCGGGGAGAGCACACTGCCCCCAGCAGCATGAACCCGGTGGGGTGCCATCGTGACTGCCCCCCATCTGTGTGGGCATCACGCCCCTGCAGGTGGCGTTCCACGCCCCCACCTGCCCTCTGCCCCCTGGTGCCGGAGCATGAAGCTCTGCCACTGGTCCACCCCATCCTCAGCAGGCTTGCTTCTTAGGGATTCGTAGCTCTCTTTGAGTGGATTCAGAAGCCTCCTGTGGAAACTGCCCAGAGAAATTGGTGTTATGGGACCAGAGTCATCCAAGCCTCCTCCAAAAACATGAAATAAACCTATGGTTCTTCATGGCTTAACCAGGTCTGTGGCTCCATAATGTTAACTCTCTCCATTAGCCTCCTTACCCAGCACAGTGAGTGATGGCTAACGTGCAAGGGCCATGGGGAGGGGATGTAACCAGGATTCACTGATATTCTTCTCACCTTTGTCTGCCTTAACACAAGAGAGTTCTGCTGGATCAGACCAAAGGCCTACCTACTCCAGCATCCTGTTCTCACAGTGGCCAGCCAGATGTCTTACTGAGGAACTTAAAGGATCTATTAGAGGTACATCACTTCTGCCACTCTCCTCTTTCTCACAACCTTTAAGTTGCTCTGCTTTCACTTGGCTTCTGAATTATTCGCTTCCCCTAAAAATGCCTAGGCTTGGGCCTTAGTTGTTGTAGTAATGAAGGTTGCCATTCTATGTGACCTAACTACCCTGGGTTGGTTCACTGATAGCAGCTTCAGAAAGGAAGCTGTTCCCAGTCATGGAGAGAAAGTCACTAGAACAGTCATGAGGAACCTGTGGCCCTCTCAGGTGTTGGGGGACTCCAGCTCCCAATCGTCCCTGACATTTTCCCATGCTGAATGGCACTGACCAAACTTTTGAGTCCAATTATATGTGGCAGGCCATTGGTTCTGCATATCTGCACTAGACCCATCAGCCCAGATGGGTGAGGGTGGAGCTAATGAGAGGCTGCAAGCTCTCAGATTCCACCTGATGGCATATAAGCCTCAGAGAGAGCCATGGAAAACAGGGAGAGAACCAGCCTGAAATGGCCTCCTGAGGAAGGAACTGGTGGGGACTGGTAAACTGTGCTATCTATTCCCCCCGTCCCAGGATGAGCCCAGCTTCTCTGATCTGAAGCAAGAGAGGTGCAGTTGTCGTGAGTTCCGAGGGGTTTGGGACCCAGAAAATGTGACACATGCCTTTAAAACAGGGTGCGGGAACCTGTGGCCCACATCATCCCTGATCATTGACCATGCTGCTGTGAGTTGCAGTCCACAACCTCTAGAGGGTGCCACATTGGCTGGAAGAACTTCTAGGCCAGGGCTAGGACCAGAAATCTGTGTCTAGCTGCCCCACGTTGTAACCCATGAGAAGTACAGTTCCTGGCAGCAAAGTAGGCTATGGATTGGGCTCCACCCCATTGGGTCGTCTTGGATTGGCTCCACCCCATTGGGTCATCTTGGACAGGAAGACCTATAAAAGGCTTGCCATTTGGGCTGGGATCCTGCCTGAGTAGCAAAGCCTTCCTGGCTTGATTCCTCAGCTCTGACTCAACTCCTGGCTCACCTTGCTCAGCTGCCGACAGCTGTCAGACAGCATCCGGATGAAGGGAGCAGATTCCAGAGCCTGGTGGAATGAAAGAGACTACCTCTTCCATGACTGACATAGCTGTGGGTGCACGAACTTCTTTCGAGGTGAAACCTGGAACTTCTTTAAAGTTCTAGGAGCAGATAGCTGAGAAATCTGAATTGCATTTTCAGTTCTTCTCTCCCTCCTGCTTTTAGCAGCCGACTGAGCTGCCTTCTGCAGAACAGGAAGGTCAAGCTCTGCGTTAGTTCATCCAGGCAGCAGATGTGCTGGTTGCCACCCAGGTGGTGGGGGTTACGAAAACACTGTCTGCAGCAATTGGGCTTGGCGGCTGTGGGCTGCGGAAGCGCCGCCTCTGCCTCGGGGAGAGAATGCTCTTCGAGCCAGAAAGATCATTAGCTTTCGCTCAGAGTGGCCTCCTTTTCATGAGCCTTCTTGTGAGAGGCCTTCGAAAGTAGGCAGGGCAGGATGGCGCTGGTGGCAGATGCTGTTGCTTGCAGGGTCCCCACATGGAGCTGTTGCCATCTGAGAGCTTCAGCGGGCAAATAAGACATCCCGGGCACAGATGGGTCTATGAGGCTGCATATTGTTAGAAGCTTGGCGCCCTGCCCAAGAAGACACAGAAAACAGATGTTGCTCCAATGGCGATCCAATGGATAAGCTGTATGCACGCATGCTGCCAGCTCTGATGTCAGCTTCCTTCTCACTCCTCAGGGTCTGAGGCATTTGGCTCTCAGCCTGCAGTGGAGGCTGCGAAAGCTGAGCGGCTCCCACTTGCTCTGGGAAGGACTGTGTTGGAGCACCTGCTTTGCATGCAGAAGGTCCCAGGTTCCATCCATCCATCCCCAGAATCTCCAGTTTGGACTGGGAACGGCTCCTGTTGGAAACCCCCAAAGAGCCACTTGCAGTCAGCATAGATTTCAGACCAGGCAAAAGTGTGTATGGCAGAGTATGCTCAGCAAAACCCTGTTTCTTTGGAGCAAGACAAACCATGAGACCAGGTTTGCACATAATGCTAAGCCAAACCTAATAATAATAATAATAATAATAATAATAATAATAATAATAATAATAATACCCCACCCATCTGGCTGGGTTTCCCCAGCCACTCTGGGTGGCTTACAGATTATATAAAACATAGTTTTGCTCAGTGCTTTTTTTCTTAAAAAATGTTTAGGGGTACTCTCATTTTGACTCAAGAACATCACCATTTTATAGTCCAAATCAGGAAAAATAAATGCAGTAAATGGACAAAAGTACAAAGATTCACAGAATGTTTAGGGGTATGCATGCCCCCAGAAAACAAGCACTGGTTTTGCTGTTGGTAATGTGGTAGCAGCAAGGCCAGGTTTTTGCTCTGCATTGCCACATGCTTGCTCATTCACACTAATCCATAGGTTGTCTTAGCAGTATATCTGAATCTGGCCACTATTTCAGACATCAGTCTTCTCCTCCCGATATGCTTCAGGCAGCAAATCATGTATCTTTAATAGAGTCTCACACAAAAGTTTATGCACTTATCCATTCATTGCCAATTAAAAGAAGGAAATTTGCTTTTAAAAACTGCAGAATTGTGCCCGGTATGAGCAGAAGGT